AGGAAAAAGACCCACAATAGCAAGTGCTTCTGGGACCTGGGAATCCTCATCCTCAGAAAGATCAGTGTCCTTCTGTTCCTCCTCCTCCAAGCCTAACCCTTCACTGGTAGTCGAAGGGGAAACTGATCTGTGCTCTCAAGCAGTCGAGGTGCCGGGTTGATCTGGATGACCTCGTGGGATTCCATGAGAAGACTTGAAGACTCTAGAAGTCTGTGACTTTTGTCGTAGCCCCGAGGCAATACCCTGAGCAATTAAATTCTGAAAACTCTCAGGAATTTCTAGAAGAGAGACAGGGAGACTCCAAGTCAGGCCTAGAGTCTGCAGATTGTGGATCCAGACGAGGCCTAGTGGACCTGGTCACCAGGCAGCCAAAGGGATCCCCAAGGGAGCTGCAGATTGATCAGGTGAAAGAAGGGGAGACAGGGAGATATCTTCTCTGATTGATCCTCGAAGAGAACTGGGAGAATGATGCTGAGGCTCAGCCATCTGGGAAGGCCTGTGGGGGGAACATGATCTGGATGGTGAGGTGATGATGCTATCTCGAATGCACCTCCCAGCAGCTCTAGTGACTCTAACTCCAGTTTCTTGCTGCTTGCCGAAGCCCCCTTCCTTGATGACTTGGAGATGTTCTTCTTAGAGGGAGCCTTCCCTCTCGTTAATGGAGCAATCCCCTGGGAGGTCCCCTTGCCCGGATCAGAGTCACCTGGTGATCCAGGGGTAGCTGCTCCACCACACATCATGGTGTCCACCATTTTCCACTGATCTCCTCTCGCCGGTATTTACGGATACAAGGCGTTGCCTTACCACCTCAGCTCCCCTGTGACACTGGATGTTCCGTGGCTTCTGTGTGCTGTAAGGAGCTCTGAACCGGCACACCCACTCACAGCCGTGCCGCTGATCTGCTGCTCGAAACCTCTGCCCTGCCGAACAGCTGGGGGCCCTCCCCAGTGTTACAGCAGAGTACTGGCCCAAATGATGCCTCAGGCACCAGCAGTGGCCTTGGAGCACTTGTGGCGAGCTGGAACAGGAGTGCCGATCCTTGCACTCCGGCCACGTGCGTCTCTCCAAAATGGCCGCCCTCTACTAAATGGCAACCGGCGACCATGCAGTCTGAAGCCTTTGAACAAGCTCCAACAGAGCCGCTCCTCCAGGAGCCCTTCTTTTGATCCCCAACACCCCCTCCCCCCCAATATAAAAAGGTGGTTGTGGCACCCAGCGACCCTTGGCATATGGTCTGGATTCCCCTGTGAACTGCCCAGCAGTTTGGAGGCTCCCACACATGGCAACAAAGTTCAACTTGTGCACAAACACTCTCTCTCTCTCACACACACACACAGAGACATAAGGGGGGAGGGGTATGAGGAATCAAGGATGGAAAAAGCAAACTCTCAAGTCCAAATCGAAGAACCAAGCAAAAACAGTACTCATTTGGGCCGAGGCTGAGATTAAACTGGCGCCATGCAGAGGAAGTAGAGGGGAGTAGCCTCAACTTTAACCTCAGTCTCTGGGCAGATTGGACATGAGAATAACCCATCAGTTACTCCTCTCACAGGCTATTTCAGATAATCCTCCTAATTTTCAGCTGCCACTTGCCCTGCTGCAAGCTCAATTTATTTTCCCCCAAAAGCATAAACCATCCTTAGCACGTTTCTTCTTTAGTGTACATCTATGAAGTTATTTATTTATTTGGTAAATTATATAGCTACCCATCTCACATTCCTTACTTATTGTTGCTCAAAATACATTACTCACATTTGGTCGGTGCAGTTGAGAAACGAAGTGTTAGCTTGGCAAAAAGATCATCACTCTCATAACGATCCTCCTTCGCTTTCACCCAGAAACAGCCTTCAGATAATTCCTGTACTGTAATCTGTAAAAGTTATATATAATATGGCATAATCCATATAAATACCATTGCACATTCTTATTGCAATTTAAGTATCCTGTACATATTTAAGCAAAAAGACCGTATGCCTGTTAGAAAATAAGTTATTTGTTTGTTGATAAGCTTTTATGAAGCAGAAACCATTTCATCAAAAGTAAATAGTGTTAGTCTGGAGATAATATTGCTGAATTACATTTATCAATTTATGGGATTAATTTATTATGCATTTTTCATTTCATCATGAAATGCAAGAGGCGACACCTTTCTACCCATATGTCAAATAAGTGGGGCACAAATAAAAAAAAGAATAATGTAATTACATGCTTAATGCCTGCTGCTGTGTAGCAGAAAATCAAAAATAGTTTGATTAGGAGAGACAAACATGCAAGGAAATGCATCTCAAAAACTGGCAGACATCAAAAGATTTTAAACAGAGAAGCCAATGGAGAAAATTCTAGGGTGTATATATTACCCCATATTCTAGCTGATGATTTTTATACTTCTGAAAGGTTTCATTCAATAACAGATACTGTAAGCCTTAAAATATTCTGGTCCTAAATTATATATGATTAGGATATGTACAACTACATTTTCCAGTTGAGAACATCTGATAAGAATATTCACCAAAAAAAAGCTTGGAAAGCTTAGACCACAATAACTATGATGTTTAAAATTCATACCTATGTATAATTTCACCCTGTAATCCATCCTATTTAAATTATTGCTATAATTATTTCTAAAAAAATTAAAAGCAGTATCAAATATCAAAATAAATATTTCACCATTTTAAAAGATTATTCATAGAGGTAAATTGACACATTTATTAAGTATCAAGAATACATCCAACTTTATATCTCATAAAATTCTGCAAAATGAAAATTAGTTGTAATAAACTTTTCTAGTCCTCAGCATTCAAAATCTTGAACACAAAGTAATTAACGGGAAAAAGCACTGGTAGACTGAGGAGCTTGAAAAAGGAAACATTGACAATGGGTAAAATACATCTAATTATCAATTAGAAGAAGTCACCTTGGACCAGTTAGTTCTCCTAAGTTGAGCTTCTGGTTTGTAAACCTTCTTGGGAGGCAATCCAAATGGAAGAGTTGGGGTTGCCATAATTCCAAAACCAGATAGAGTGGGAGGTGGTGGCGGCATTGGTATCCCAAACGGAGGTGGAGGTGGTAACCCTGCCATGCCCGGCAGAGGTGGTGGGGGAGGGGGCAACCCAGGCACCCCAGGAAGGGGTGGTGGGGGAGGGGGAACCCCAGGCACCCCAGGAAGGGGTGGTGGGGGAGGGGGGGACCCAGGCAGAGGTGGTGGTGGCAACTCTGACATTCCAGGTAGAGGTGGTGGAGGAGGGGGCGACCCTGACATCCCAGGGATTTGGTGACTTTCTGTCTCAGTAGGTAATGGTTGCTGTGATGGGAAACTCGTAGATGAAATGACATGCTTCATTTTCTTTTTAAGTTCTTCAAGTTCTTTGGTCAGTAGAGCGATCTTTAGAAAAAGAAGTAGAACAAGTCAGACTGGAAAAGTCATAATTCTAAACCACAAAAATAAACAGACTGACCATCTCTAAGCCATAATTCACTACCCTGTTGATATTTCCTTTACTCCTTTGGGGTTTTGAGATTTCTTTTTGTGTAATCTAATGCAACAGATGCAAGAATAGGCAGATCACACTGAATTGGTAGTCTTATTCTGATTTAGGGCCATGTGATTCCTGCACAAGAGATCCTTTGAAAAACAGCTTCCTGAATGGTCAAAGCAGGACTTTTTTCCAGCTTTACAAAGCTACTCTGGAAACTGATCATGGTTTTTCTGAACCAAACATGCACAGAACAAAGTGGCAGTGCAAGCAAAGTGTGAGGAGACACCGCAAGCTGGGTACAACCCACAATGGAAAAAGACAAACCTACTATATGATTCAAACAGTACTCCATTAATGTTCCTAAAGCATGCCTGGTTCAGAAAATCTTTTTTTCAGATTGCAACACATTGCACATCTGATTTAACATTTCAACCTAACCCAGCTGTAGATGGTTAGTATCTGGGGCTCTCATTGTTTCTGCACTAAAATATACAATTAGGATTTCCAGAGTAAATTATAGGTATTTTCACAAAACAGCTGCCATGATAAAAGTAGAAATTGGAAAGACTGCTTTTTACTACTACTTCAACTCTTACCATGTTAGCTTACTTTACAATTTTTTAAGGGTGTGCAAATTTCTAGGAAAAGCATGCTATAGTGGACAACTATCATTTTATTTTCTAAGAATAATTCTGGAGGTCACAGGGAGACCAAATTATTGTTGCCGACAGAACTTATGCTAAAAAAAAAGTTTTGTACACAGTCAGACTGGTACTATAGGAAATGCTGTCAGACATACTGCAATGTATTGGACCACAGCAGGGACCCAGGGTTTATTAAAGGACACTCATATTTCTCAACTAACAACTTGTTATATTTGCTATAAGCTATCAAGACAAAATTGCATATGGTGGGGTATAAATCCATAAATTAATAAATGATCTGCTACAATCCCAGAATTCATAGCCAACTCATTTTATTCACAAAGAACAAATCAAAGATTTCACATCATACAACTTTCCTAACTTCCTCTCTTAAACACTGTAATAAAAGGGATGTCATATAGCGTGGAATAGCAACATCTACATGCATCCAATAACATCCCAATATCTTAAAATCTTACAGTACAGCTTTTCATTCACCTCCTATCCCATTGCCCATTCTTTCACCAAGAAAATAGCAATATTTCTTCTTCTATTTTATGATTCTTGGGATTTAGGGCTTAAACACTAAAATGGCATGTTTTTCTAATATAATCAGTTTATTTATACCATTGCTCATTACCTCATCACTCAACAAAGAGCTATTAATTTCTATGTTTTGCTTCTCTGAGGTAATACGCTGTTTCTCAGCTGCCACTGTTTCTTTCTCCTGAAGTAAATTTTGAATTTTTTCCTCAAAATCACTTTCCTTCTTCTTCATTTCAACTTGTAATTCATGACGTGCAGTCAGCTCAGATTCCAGCTGAAAGAAAGAATTATGCACAATAATCATGCTAACATGCTCCATACTCGTTAAACCTCAAGCGAGATAATATTTTCCTTCTTGGGAAGTACAACATGGATGATGCTGATTAGATGGCAAGGAGATAATATTTAATACTAAATATGAAAACATTTCAGTAGAGTATGCATTACTTAGTTTGTCATAATCCAGGCCAAAAATGAACTGCAAAATTATTATATAAAAGGAAGTTCTACATGTAATAACAAAAACATTATTATAAAATTCTAAAATATACAGGAAACTTAAGAAAAGCAGTAAAGAAAAATGTTTCAGTGTTTATGTTTTCTGTGTTACATTTTACTTTGGAGAATGTTTTAAAGATAAGCCAATTTTATAATGTCTTTGTAAAAAAAAGCAGAATGGAGCTTTTAATATAGATGAATGAATGACCGACTTTTTCAGAGCACTGGCAGTTCTAAACTCTGGACAAGAAGATGAGGTAACTTGTATTAGTATAAGTGCAACATGCTAGGAAAGCAAATGAAATTCTTAAGTGATGCTGACATATCAGATCACTATTCTATGTAGCTTGGTTTTATCTTGGCCAGCCATGACTGACCAGAACTCCTTCCCTCTTCTGCTATTCAAAGTCTTTTTACTTGAGGTGACAGGGACTGAATCAGAACCTTTTGCAAATCTCTCCTGACTATAAGATTTATTTTTTTCTTTTTAGTTGATACATTTAAAATTACATTTCTTTAATAAATTAATATCTCTTCTTGATCCCTTATACAATTTTTTACAAGATAACATATTCAGAATGATGTGTGAACAACTACCCTGATTTATAAAGTCTAGATTTAATGGTAGTTTCCCACTTTATCAATGAGGAACAATGTGAATGTTGTCTCCTTCTATCAATTAGTACAGGGGTCCCCAACCCCGGACTTCAGCCAGTTCGGAACCAGGCCACACAAGTGGCAGCCAAGTTCATGTGCACACACAGCTTCACTTGCACAATCAGCATGCACTTGTGGTCATGCACGCAGCTCCACACACGAGCGATGAGTGCTTGCACCCATGTGCACAGCCCCTCACATATGTAGCTCTACTCGCACAAGTGGCGGGTATTCATGTGTGAAGCTCCACTTGTGCCAACGCCAGGCAATTGCACTCATATTGTAGGTGTGCACGCTCATTCTTGCACACCTGCCACTCACAGGGAACCACCCTCACCCCCCTGCTGAGCCACAAAGCCGGAAAGGCTGGGGATCACTGAATTAGAAGTACTGAATGGTTGCTGCCGCCTATCTTTTCTGGCATTAAATATACAAGTAACATTTGGTAGGATTTGGTCTATATACTGTTAATGTTTGGGAGAAAGCCAGGGGAATACTCCTCTTGCATACTTATACATACTTCTCCTCTTTGCATACTTACAAATAGTAGGGCATGAGTACTAAAGAGGCATCAAGAAAAAAGAACTAAACAGAAATAAACAGCTATCAGCACCACAAATGGAATAAAAACTAAGGATTTTTTTTAAAAAAATGAAGATATTTAAATACACAAAAAGTATCGTATTTTTCAGAGTATAAGAAGCACCTTTTCCCCTCAAAAAAGAGGCTGAAAATCTGGGTGCATCTTATTAA